GCCAAAGCTTGTCCCCAGACATGACCACCTTGATAGGCAGTACGTTTAACATGTTCTGTAATTGCAGCCTGGCTCAGCGGAATATTTTCGACGAACTGGTGTCCTGAGCAAAGAGTACTTGACGAGCTTGGTTCACCTGTGTGAAAGGACATGTTCGGCTATACAGAAACACAGTGAGTCTCTCTATGAGTGCTGTATACTCAGATGTAATTTGTTTGGGCTACTCATGATGGGTTACAAAAAGCAGAAGCCACCGCTGGATAAACTTTCGATGTGTCAAAGGCAGTTTTCTTTCTCTTTCCACAAAATGCTGATGCCGTATCACAGCCCGCAAAAGAGTGAAAAAGCAACGAATAAACAGTGATGTTTGCTGACATGTATGTGAAGTGTTTCCCAACACCAAAGACTATCCAAAGTTCAATGTTTAGTTTGTGGACGTAGAAGATGGCTAGAACCACAACATTTGTATCAACAGTTTTGATCACCACTCTTTTATGTATTTCACTTGTACCATGAGCTATATGGAGTAGTCTCCTTGTGTCAGCCTCCTTATGGTTGCATGGTGCAAGACTTCGCTTATGTGTAGTTGTTAAACTGACAATATCTTCATTGTATGTAGACACAAACTTCACACCAGCTACATTCAAGGCCACCATCGCGTCTACCAGATACACAAAAAGTTCTGTGTTATTTCCTTCTGAATGAAGAAAGTTCTGCCAGTTTCCTGGAACTATGATCCCTGGAAGGACCCGCCTGCGGACAATTTTTGCCACGTTCTTCTCTCATGCACTGTTTTAGACCTTCATTTCCATTTCTGGAGCATCATCTTGTACTTGAGTGTTTGTCTGCAGACACTGGAGTAGTTCTGATTTTTTCTAATGCACATTTTTCCCATGGAAAAAAGTGAAGATGATCAAGGTTGGTTTTCATGTCTGAAAAACTCTGCTAAGTTCCTCTCTTTCCTGACAAAGTACATATAATCACGCAAAGAGTTTGCAGTCATACTTCAGTAACATTAAGTGGTTTCTGTCTTAGTGATAAGTTGTGATGAGGTTCCAAACAATGGTAGCTTGTTTCTTGTAACTGTGTTTTTGTTTGCCTTTAAACGCTTCTATAGTCTTTCTTTTACAAAGAGTTCATACTATGACAAGCCAAGCTGATATGCTGATTGAACTGCTACAATGACAGATTGAGTCATAATGCCTTTTGTGTCCAGCACTAGTAGCTCTGTGTTGTCTTCTTTAAATGGATTGTCCATTTCTTCTATTATTGCAGCTAGATTTCTGACATCATTGGCAAATGACTGCTGGACACCTATTGTGTCATCATAACAAGGAAGGAGTCCATACAGATTTGGTTCATTCCACTGAATTTGCTTGTCTATAGCAAACAGTAGCTGGCCCATTGCTATGATAGGTGTCTGTCCAGAATTCAAGTAGTGGGCAGCTTCTCTAATAATTATCATGGAATACCTAATCATTGCACTGTATTGGACATTTTCATGAAATAGTGGGAGCAAGACTCTTATGGCTGGAGGCCATGTAAGTTGTGACTGAAAATATGCATGATACACAAATCAGGAAAGTAATCATCTTTTACGGGTTTGTTTCTTTTCAAGAGCACAACTTCAAAAGTCATTTTTGTTCTGATTTTTTTATGTGATGTTGGCTTCACTCGGCCTTGTACAGCGGGTACAAACTGATCTTACTTGATAGTTTCATCTGGTCTTATCTCTGTGTATGATTTTGGTAGTTCAGACAGTCCTTTCTTTCTTGGGATAGTATGATTAATGATAACCACTTCACGATCAATCCTCATCTCATCTTGGCTGGGATGCTGAGTAAGTGAAATTGCTGTTCTGTGGAATGAGTCCTTTGCAGTTCTTGAACTGGGATTATGGTCAGTGTTATCAACATTTCTCGTCATGAACAGTCTTTCTCTTAATTTTTGTGGACATACAACCTCTTTTCTTTCATACTGGACACACACATACACTATTTCCCAGATCATCAGATATTTGCATGACCCTGTCATATGAGATACAGAGTCCCAGTTGACAAATCACAAAGCAGCGCCAATGTCCCCATCAAAAATGCAGATTACTTTTCTTCCATCATTGTATGCCATCAGACCAAGTACGTGAGAAAGGAGATGTTCTTTAAGCCTTGTCGAGTTTATCCTGTCTGGGACACAAGCTTGTAACTGATGCAGATGGGAGGTATACAATTTTACTAAATCTGCATCATTTATTTTTATCTTTAATATAAGCTGCTAATTCAGCCAGAGAAATACCTTCTGCCCTCTCTAGACCACTGTTCTCCTTAACTTCTTTCTTCTTTTGTCTTCTTGCTCTGTTGTACAAGGCTACCAAATATTTGTTGTGGCTGAATGCATCTAATGCACGAATGTTACCTGGAACTAGTTTTGCCATCAGTTTGGTGTCAGAATGTTGAGTTCATCCAGTTCAAGGTTGATGTTTTGTGCTATTTTCCATCAGTCTTGTCACAGATAAATCACACTTCTTACACTGTTTCTCTTGATCCTACACTGAAAAGTGTCTTTACAGGGCTTGGATTTGAAGGTATCATCATATTTTCTCTCATGTGCTCTTTCAAGTTTCAGGCTACTAAATTTATTATAATATGACTTATGCCAAGAAGCTTTTCGAGCCTTTAGTGTATCTTTTATATCCTGTCCCTTGTTGAGTGCAGTTATATAAACTTGCATTAGTACACACCCAACGTCATAAAAGTTTGAGAGATTTCTGGCTATAGTCTCGTACCCAGAACTATAATTTTCCCTTGTACTATTTGTAGCACACATAAGTTTCTCATTAGTCTGTTTCTGTCAGACAGCAAAAAGAGTCCAGTCTGTAACATGAAAAGGTATTTCCTAGCTGGTGCCCAGGTGTAGGTTCTCATCGTTGCTCTGTAAGGACATCTTTCTTGTCTACAGACATCTACATGATTTTATCTACAGGCTTCTGCGGTATATCTACACCACCACCATAAGCAATCTTCACATCTTCACCATGGTTCCTGGAAAACACACAAACACAAAAAATAACTAGACGCCTGTAACTGTCGTCATTAACAGTTATAAAGCTTCTCCATTTATGTTATGGATTTTTTAATAATGTATAAAATTTACATATATATAGGCAATCTTTTCTTTTACGTGACTCAAAAAACATTTTGTAACACACATCTGTCATGGAAGGTTTGTCGATGAAACTGAGATGTGGATAAATGAGGTGCAGACTAGCTAGGTTCCAGTGTATTTATTCATTATCATAGACACAACAGAGATACCAGATCCCTTAAATAAACTTTTTTAAATATTTTCACCCAAAAAATAAGCAGGTATCTTGAAGATACTAAGGAGACATGGTAGGCAAATTCATCCAGTCCAAGAGTTCAACAGAAAGCATAAGAATAAAGGCCTTCATGGGCAAGATCTCAAATGTGTCTGGCTTTTATATGAATGTTCATATGAAAAACTATAAATGTACCAAACTCCATGCTTCTATCCAAATTTGAACAATTGTTGTCATATTGAGAGCTTGCCTACTTAATTATTACAAACAATGCGCTAAATGACTGCAGTGAACTTAAGGGTGAAAGGTAATTTCAATTTCTTCAAGAGCGAATAAGAACAGGAAATGTGCACCAAAAGACGTCTACTGATGAATTAGGATTAAGTGAGTAAGACTGTTCAGTTTTTTGTTCAACATTATCCAAGGTTGGAGCATCCAGGAATAACAGATAATTGAGAAGTTTGACTTTGATACAATCATTCTACACAGTTACCTGTCTAAATCGCCTTGGGAATCTGTAATATAGCAGATTTATTTAATTCTCGTGCATTTTCCTACTGATAACAATGAGAGCAACAATCTTGCATTATCTCACTGACTCAAGTAAATCTAGTTGAGTTATAGTCAATAATGGTGCCGAGCCGTGACTTAGGACCACTATTCTAATGAACATGTGATGCTTGTATAACACCAACTGAATTATGTATTGCCCCCGCAAGTGATGTTTTATCTCAGCTGGTGGTTGAATATTGTGTTGAATGTGAAGATTAAGAGTTTTGTAGAAATGTAGTGTAATTTATTTATGCTATAAGAATACCTTTTGCTTAATATATATATATATCATAATATTAAATAAAAGGGTGGAAGTTGGGAGTTTTACACTGTTAAATGTTAGGGAGGTTTAATTCTTCTTTAAGGTTATGTCTAAATGTTAAGGGATAACTGCCTTCCTGCAACTGGCTGCAGCCAGCGAAAGGCAGTAGTTGAAGTGTTGTGGGTTCAAGTACTCAACTCCTAACCTTTAATTGATTCTCCTTAGTTGCTGGCGTCAGGATCTTGATTGGTAGATAAAGTATACCCAACACATTTGGGTGCTATGACCACAGACATTATCCATTATGGCTTTAGGATGACAACGAGGACTGCTAGTGGAAGAATAATTTTGACTTTTGGTCTCATCATAATGTTGTTTTTGTTTTGTTTAAGTTTGACCACAGCGGTGATGAATGACATTGTTTTAATGTTTCGAAATGTTCACATTCCATTTTGAAGACATTTCTTCAATACATATCGTGTTAAACTTTTTGAAATCATTTATGCAAATGTAAACATTCGCAAGTAAGAAAAAGAAAAATCAATATACAAAACAGCAAAGTAAACCGGACACACCACGGAAAAACAAAACAAAACAAAATTCTATCTTCTCCAACTTTTGGGCTACTCTTTTACCAACGATTGACTGTTACATTATAACGCCCCCACGGCTGAAAGGGCGAGCATGTTTGGTGGGATTGGGATTCGAACCCGCGACCTTCTGATTGCGAGTCGAGCACCCTAACCACCTGGCCATGCCGGGCCTCTTCGAACACAGGCGATTAAAATCAACACTATAAAACAATAATGTTAACAATGTGGTAGATGTCGCTTTAATGTTGATTGTAATATAAAGCTTACGTATATATCATTTACGTACTTAACTTTCATTTTCTGCGCTATGTAAATTTATTTTTCACTTTTTGATATCAAATGTTCTCAGTTTAACACCATCACAATAATTTCAGTACTTTTATATATTGAAGTGAAGTGTATCAACAGTGGTCATAATAATCTTATTGAAGCTAGTTGGTAAATAACTTGTTTGTTTTTTCAATATTGAAAATGAAAAATTTTGTTGATTTACAACTACATATATTGAATTTGAAGTTTGTGGGGTAGTCATAAGTTAGTTAAGTGCATTCATTTTTTCAAATTCAAATTAAATCTAGAGGTCTGTAGTCTAAATTTTATCTAGCTGTAGCATGACAACTTTCCAAATTATGTATGACTGTTTTGTAAGAATAAGGCAATAACATGAGTAAGTAGAACTAGGTAATAATAAAGAACTCAATATTTGACTAAGTAACAATAAATTTAAATATTTCAAGACATAGTGTAAGGAAGAATTTGAAATTGAATATTTCATGACGTAAGGCAGGAATTCATTATTTCATAGCATAAGGAAGAAAAAATCAAATGCATATTTAATTGACACTTGACAACAGACTGCAGAAGTAGAACAGAATTTACCTGGTGTATTATTTATATTAAAGTATAATCTTATTCATAAATGTTATTTCCTTACTTAGGCAAAGAGAAAATTTGAAATTAAATCTCAAAATGTTGGAGAAGTATAAATATTAAAGTAGTAAAGTGCAGTTGTTTCATGTACTGATATATATTTAAAAATCTGTGGTTGATGAGGCTTATGGTGAGAATACAAGTTTTGTTTCCAAAGGTTAAAAGAGACTATTTTGACTTGTCTTCAGGCTATCCCATTTTCTGCTAACATACTACTCCAAAATACATATAGAAACCCCTTTTCCTTTACCAAATCCTGATCTTTAACTTGCTCATTCAATCTGATTTTAAACTCCTACAATGTTGCAGCTTCTACAACAACTAAAGGCAGTGTATTTAATAGGACAATCATCCTATTAAAAATGACTGCCTTAACTAGAATCATGTCTGAGTTTTAAACTTGTGTTCCCTAGTGTTATTGTCTGCAGTTTTTTCTATTAAAATTTCATATAAATTTATGTATTTCAAAAATAAATCTAACAAACTTAAAAATCTTCATTAAGTTCCTCCTGATCCCTTATCTTCTCCATCAAAAATATTTCAAGGTACTTCAAACCATCTCCATATGATAGCCCCTCCAAACATTTATTAATCCTGGTAGCTATTTTATGAATCATTTCCAACAATTCAACATCATTTTTTAAATTAAGTGAGCACAGTATTCCAAATGAGGTCTAACCAGTACCTTAGGAAGTAAACAGATGACCTCATTTAACTTGTAATTGTACTCAATATTTCAATTTATATAATCTAAATGTAAAATTCTGTTTGCCTTATTACTACAGTAGCTAACCTTACTGTTTACAAGGTATTTTAGAGACTTTGCAATAGCTATGCCTAGCCCTTTTCCCTCATTGACTTTACCAACATGAAGAGTTTCCCTAGTAAGTCTATAAGAATAGTAGTATGGTAATTAATATTAATAACTTTTTATTCAGATTAAAATTCATCTTCCTAATGCTAATAGTAATCCAGATCTTTTTAGAACACTAAATCTTAATTACAATGTGAAATACTCATTAATGTAATGTCATCTGCAAATTTAACCAGTTTACTGCTTACTACATTGCCAGTGTAATTAATGAAAATGTGAAATGACCAAGGACCTTCCAAATAACTTTGAGGTACACCACTTGTAATATTCATCCACTGCAATTGAACCCGATTATTGGCATTAATAACAACCATTTGCCTTCTACTACACAATCCGTTTAAATTGACTACCGGTTATCCGTACTTTAATTGAATGGAGAAGAAATGTTGACTATAATTCTGAATTTACTATATGTTTCTACATGACATTTGGCAAGCTTTTAGTAAAATGTACAAGTCTATTGTGCCCAAAAATTAGATATATTTATATTACAAAAGTATTTGTAATCAAGATATGTTTGTAAATTGACAACATCAGTCTGACCTGCACTCTGACAAATCAGAGTGCAAAATGATGTTCAAGTGAAGAATAAAATACTTTTGTCTATTATACAGTCCACATATTGCATTTGCATAATTTCTAAAACCTCTGAAATGTATATCTACAGTTTCTTCAGTATACCTGTTTACTGTATTTGGTATTTACTCTCCTCTACTACTGTCACTAAATCAATGATGTAGGGTAAAACAAATAATTGATAACTCTGACGTCAAATACATAATACTATGTTGAATGGCATTCTGTGGCATGTGCACTCCCATCCTTGCACAGAAGGTTAATCATTCAAGTACAAGTACAGTTGCATGAAATGAGCCTGATGATGGATACAGTTGCTGAATCTAACAGCTTGTTACTGTCCCCAACTGTTGTTTTTCAGTGATTGGATCATAAAAGTATGCTGGTAGCAACAATTTCATTGAGTAATACGAGATAGCTGAGATTTTAAATGTATTTATCTCTTCTGTTTTTATTAGAAGGGATGCTAGCAATATCCCTGACCTAGACCATTCCGTGAGAAATATTGGGATTGACCCAAGTCATTTAGATATTAATCCCTTGGTGGTAAAAATGAAAATCTGATTGATTAAATACAGATCAAGTACCAGAACTAAATAATATTTCTCCCATGATGGACAGGTACCCCAGGATTGAAAATTTCTTAATGTTACTTATATTTTTGAAGGGGATGATAAAGTGTTGCTATATAAATTATAGGTCAGTTAGTGGGAAAAATTGTAGACAGTCTGTTAAAGTGTTGTAAAATCATTTAATAAAACAGAATATAACAAAAGAGAGCCAACATTTATTTGATAAAGGAAAATCTTGTATTAGTAATCTGTTAACTTTTTTAAAGATGTTACTTATTTTTTAAATTATGGAAAATGGGTGGGAAATTTGAGCCAAACCACAAGGAAGAAAGGTTTTTAAAACTACTCAAGATAATTTTCTTCACCAAATGGGTAGGAAACCTATTGGGAATAGATTTATTATTAACTTTCAATACAGTAATGGCTGAGGTGGTGGTGATTAGGGAACAGTTAGGCCTGATGTTGTACTGAATGTGTAGATAAGGAATAATGATATTTTGGTTGCTAATTGTAAAGGGATGTGATAAGAATTATCTTTTGTGAAGTGGGAACTGAATAAATTTAAGGTGCTGACCAAATGTGGAGAACTTTTTAAAGTATATTTTGAAATATTACAGAAAAAATAAGGGTTGCTATAAGTAAGACCAGGTTGGCTTACAAAGGATATAAGGGATAAAATTAAAGAAAAACGTAATAAATTTAAGAAGCTTAAATTGACTGCTATGACAGAAGATCTAGAGGATTATAAGATATCATACAGGGCATTAGGTAGTTGGAAAAGGTATGTGAAAAAATATTGGCTGAAAATGTAAAAGGGCTAGTAAAATGTTAGGATGGATCTAAAGCCTTTAAGGGATGATAAAGGAAAACTTCTTATGTTTATGGGATGGCTGGGTTAGTAAATCCTACTTTTTCTTAAGTTTTTACTAATGATGATATAATCAGTATTCCTCATCCTGAATACTTGTTAAATGGAAACATGGTCAAACTAGATGAGTACATTAATTATGAGCTGGTTAAGAAAAAGTTGTGAAGTTTAATGAATGTTAAGGCTTCTGGACCAGATAATATTTCCTCAAGGGTTTTAAAGGTGGTTAAGGATTAGATATTTGAATCACTTGCTAATATGTTTGTAATATGCAGTAAATTTAATGGAAAACTTTATTGAAATCTAAATAGAAAGGGCTGGCTTTGAGGTTTTTGTTTTGTTTTATTTAAAGTTTAGTTTAGTATATGAAACAACCTTGATGGACCTGCAAGGCCCATGTTGTCCTTAGTGTTATGTAATGTTGTAATACTCTAAATATAGCCTAAAAGGAAATTGTTTAAAGAAATGATAGCTTCCTTTGACTTGTATTCAATATGTCTGCAGATACAACTGGAAATACTATTTGCTTTCCTTCTGGCAACTACACACTGCCTGGAAGTGTTAAGAAACTGTTCAACCAAAACACCAAGACCCTTTTCTTCCACAATACTGTTGAGTTGCTTTTCATCAAAGTGGTATTTACAGTTTAGGTTTAGATAACCCACATGCAATACCTTGCACCTAGTATAATTGTTATTTGCCATTTATTTGTCCAATTTACTAAATGATCCAAATCCATTTCTGAAACAACATCCTCCTTACACCCAATCATACCCAGAACTTTAATATCAACAACAAATTTGACCAATTTGTTGGGCATTTCCTTATCTTTATCATAAGTATATATTAAAAAGAGTATCTCAACACAGAGACCTGAAGTACTCCACTTGCAACAGTAATTCAGTTTGATTGAACTTCACTTATCACAAGTCTTAGCTTTCTTAACCAACCCTTTATCCATTAAGCCAACTTATCCCCCCACATCCATAGAAATAATTTGTTTATTAGTCTTTTATGTACCACTTTGTTATAAGCCTTCTGACAATGTAAGTATACCAAATACACATCCTTATTGTAACCAACATAAGCAGTAAAATCTTTGAATAATGTAAAAAAAATTTAGGAGTAGAGTTGAGCGATTAGTGGAACTTGGTAATCAATTAATTGACGGGCTCATTCATTGATTACATTTGATTAATTGGTTAGTACATGATGCTCCCTACAACCCATACAAGAAGAAAAAGAAGGAAAAAACGGGTGTGTACTTATCGTCTTAACTTTTTCAACCACTTTATCCTAACATGTTATTAATTTTCTTTTGCATTATTTTGGTTTTTAAGTCTTTTTTTTTTTTTCAAACTATCCTTGATTTAGAATGATTGACCTTTTCTGAATGTGGCTAATTGCGTATCTGCGAACATCATTTTTGTCCCAAAAAAATATCCCACAAATTTTATGGCCATTTTTCACTTTGCAGATGAATCTCTAATATTGACTACATACCACTAAACTGTATAAGTTAACTTACGTTATCCCAAGTTATGTGATTCTTTTCATTGAAGACAAATTCTGTAGCTTTCAAACAAATATAACTCACAAATACTTTCACAATTAAATAATGGAAGCATGTTTTACTTGCACAACAAGGGTAATAGTTTTTATTTATAACATGTCATGATAACAATTACAAATGATAAAGTAGCCAGTTAGAAAGTCCCATTTTTGATCTTTGTTTGAATACAATAAACACAAATGATATTCAATAAAGATTTGAATCATCACAATATTTTAAATTGCATACCATATTGACTAAATAGTAAACTTATCTGATTTGATGACAATTTTGTTTTATTTGGTGGATATAATAAAAAAAATCATATTTAACATAACATAATGTTTTGGGACAACAAGGAATCTATTGGTCCATCTCAGCTGTTCCATCCTTTAAACTAAATTAAAATAATTAAATAAAAAAACCTTAAAGCCAGCCCTTATCATTCATATACTTATCAAGCTTTTTCTTAAAATTACTGAAATGTACTGCCTCTTAAAAAACACTAATTTTAAACAAAGAACCAAATATCAAGATAACTTTATTTAGCCTAAAGCAATCTCCAGTCACTCATGTGACTTCTTTGCTTTGTACTGGATATATATTCGTGCATCTAGGTAAGCTAGTTTAACCTAATGATGACAAAACCTACTCCAAAAACTACACATTTGTAACTGATTTAAACTTTTGATAGAGTTTTCTTTGTTACCCATTCAACCCATCTCTAAGTTGTACAAGCTTATTTAAGTTATCCCAAGTTATTTTATTATTTTCAGTAAAGATAAATTAAACTTCCTTTATAGTGTTTTCAAATCTTTGTTTTACTAATAAATGATTAAACCACTTGATGTGGCATCATAGCATGAATTCAACCATAGCCTGTACAGACACTAATGGAAATACTGAAAAATAAAAAAATAGATAATATGTTTTCAATGGTTAATAAGTTTTTAGGAAAAAAACATTCTTTGGAATGGGCAGAAAATTTTTAAAAAAAATCAAGTATGTTTTTTTTAAGTATAAACTCTTTGCAGCTGTGCTGAAATGAAAATATTAACTCTTTTTCCTCGTTAATTACACTAAATAAGCATCAGAATATGACAGAATATTGAATTATAATACTTTTTAGCTAGAAATGTGTAAATAATAGGAATTGACATGTACAATTAACTTAACTTGTGATGAAAGTATGTAAAAAGCTAGAGGAAATCCTGTTTTCAGGTACAATAATTTAGGAGTGAGTTATTTTGTTCATCCTCACTTGGTGTACATGAAAGTGTATCGTTCATAAAAAGTAGTACTAAACCTGTAACAACATGAAAAATAATACATTTTATAGCATTCCACTCAGAGGCATGTAGAACCAGCCCAGTCCCCCCCCCTTCATTTTTCATCCTATTTATTAACTTTTGCTGATTTTTCATAAAAGATATTTAGTTGACAAATTTCTTCATGAATCCATGAAAAAGCAGTAGCCATTTTAGCTCATTAAGGTAGTATGCATTTGTAGTGAGCTTTGGAATATCCCACTACCAGACCCCAGAGCAGCTGCCTCCTGTGTCCCCCCATCTCGTCAGCCCTGTTTCCACTGCTTTCTCTCTACAAATTTCCACAAGAAACTACTGGATTTTTGTTGATGAAAATAAACATATTACTTTATGACATTTTCAAACAATTTTTATATAAAGTTAAACTTTATCACTTGAAAAACATTAACAAAAAATATTTAAAAAACAACTATCTTCAGCTATAGGCCTACATCATGTTTAAGTTAGTTGAATACTTCTTTTGTTGTTGGAAATATAATTACCTTTCAAAATATGTGCAAAAATCAATACGATATTTGACAAACAATACTGATGGTTATTAAAATTAAAATAAAATAGAGAAACATCAAAGGTCACTAGATGCAGGATTATGTTAAACATTGTCAGAGATCCAGACTTTGAGAAACTGTTACTCAAAAACAGGGGTGATTCAGGTTGTTGGTAAGAGGGAAGGGTGGGTTTAACTAGACCTGTACTAGCACTACTAATAAATTTATATTACTTTTTTATAATTGCTTTCCACTTGCAACTTTAATAATGAAATAAAGTACAAAGCCTATTCACTTAGAAACAATGAATTATTTGCTGAGTTCATAACGGGATTGTGGTGGACTCCAGCTGTGTCAACTTTAGAAAAACGAAAAGTATTTACAGTAATTAACAATCTAGTTAAATAGAAACACTGACATCTAATACTTCAGTTTGATACTATATGGCTGTTTTATTATTAATTTCCAAAAAAGATGGAAGGGGTTTGGATCCTCTAGATCTATGCCTGCTTGTACAATAATAAATAATCCAGTTATTAATTTTTGAAAAAATAGGTGGAACAGTTGGGGTGGATTTTTTGAACCCTCTCTAACTCCTCCCCTAAATCCATACCTGTTTATGTATCATTAAAAATAGTTATTAATATCTGGAACAAAAACCAATGAGAGCCTGGACCCCTTGAGCCCCTCTCCAAGATCTTTGCCTACTTATACAACAGTAAATAATACAGTTATGCAATTACAAGTTAGAAACATAACACTGTTTAAATAAAAAAGTAAATTTACACTTTTTTAATATTTAAGTAGCCAGAGGATTTGTAGTGAGTGCTACCAGCAAATTGCCTTCTCTCTAGTCAAAAGTTCAAAATTAGTGACAACTGCAGACAGTCGTAGTAGCTTTACAATAACAAAGACAGAACGAAACCCTCAAATCATGAAGCACCCCTCTTACTCACCCATTATGTAGTTTTGTGCTTAATAACAAACATAATAGCAATGTTTTGATTACTTGGATATTAAGAATAATCTAAAACCCCAATTTAGATTAGGTAATTATTTTCGTGATAATCAATTTAATCATTATTTTTTTTGATCAATCATTGGAATAATCGAAAATAGTAATAACCAGAAACACTAATTTTGATTAGTTGATTATTTTTGTGATGTTAATCGATTAATCATAATTTTTTGAGACAAGATTTTATCTGTGTGTAACAATGCTGGCTGTCCATCAAAATTAAAAGCTTTGATGACTTGCAAAGCATCTATTTCTTTTCTGTCTCTTTAAAACTTTTACTTCCATAGAAGTAAGACTAGTTGGCCTGCAATTACCCGGACAATGCTTGACCTCTCCCCTTAAAAATAAGTTTAACATTACCCAATTTCCAGTCATCTGGTACCTGCCCATTACTAAAAGACTCACAAAAAAAGTTTAGTAAGGACATCTTTTGCGATCCTATTAATACCCTTGGAAAAATACTATCTGTCCTGAAAGCCTTATCATTTCCTAAACTTCTTAATTTTTCTTTGACAGTTTCATGACTAATATTAATTTATGTATTTTTATCATATTTCTCACTAGTAATTTCTCAGATCTAATACTATCTATAGTGAAACTGAAGAAAGAAGAAACTTTAGCAACTGAAGCATCCCATAATTTCCCATGATGTAGGAAGAGATAAAAACTGAAATGTACAACAAAGGTAAGCAATTTTAATTGTTTCCTTTAAAAACTTAACACAATGAAATCTTTTTGAATTTTCAAAGCTGCAAATTCATACAAATGTCACATATAAAAAAACAAGTTATTTTTTAGAAGCTACATAACCTATAAAAGTTCATCTCAGGTTTCAAATGATTTCATCCAGTAGTTTTTTTTGTTTTTTTTGCAATGCAGTAAAATAAACCATACAACAGGTGCATTGAATCAACACACCTGGATGTTTTAGAGTTAAACTCTTGCAAATTTTTATTTTCTAGCTGTATTGATGGAAATGGGATGTTACAGAATGATTCATTATAGGAATTATCATAATAGGGTTATCATAAATTGGATCTCACATTTGATAAAGATATGAACCAACTCAATAGCATTACTGAAGAAAAGGATCTTGGCATAGTAGTGGATAAGTCACTAAAGCCATCAAAGCAGTGTTCTGTTTCTAGTAGCAAAGCTAATAGAATTTTAAGATGTATTACAAGTTAAAAGAGGTAATAGAGAAATTTCTATACAAATTGCTAGTTAGGCCTCACTTGGAATACTGTGTGTAGTTTTTGTTACTGTATGTAAGAAAGGATATTGATTTACAGGAAGGTGCTCAGAGGAGGGTTACTAAAATGATTCACAAATGGAATGGTTGTTGTATGGGTATAGTTTAAGATCTCTTATTTTCTCTGGAGAAGAAAAAGGTAGGAGACAATTGTAATGAAGTTGACAAGTTTATGCAAGGGTTTGTTTGGATAAAGGTCTTTCTGACTTCTTTCTGCTGTATTCTGAAAACAATAGGATAAGAAGACACAAGTGTAAAGTTTGGAAAAGACAAGGTGATCAGTATATAGAATGAGTTACCATAAGCAGTAGTAGAGGCTGATAGCTTGTAAAGGTTTGAGAGAGAAATAGATGATTTCCTGAAAAATAATGGATGGATTTAAACTTTTTTTTTTCTCAAGAGTTGTCTCTTGTTCTTATTGCTATGTTATGAAGTATCAAAGGTAACTTTTTTTTTCACCTCTTTTTACAATTACATCTTACATATCGTTTTTTTATTAAAATGTTAAATACTGTTTCATGTCATATGTTGTGAACTTTGTTAATCTGGATAATTAAAAATCTGCATGATTTTCACAATAGGAAATTTAATCAGTAATCCATATATATTTTTTATTCCCAAACTGAACAGCTATTTCTTATAACAAATAAACATGATTTGTTAATTCACATAACTTCATAAAAATCCAGTAGGAGTTGATCAGAAGAGGAAAAGAGGTGATGATTAATGACCACAAAACACCTGCACTAACTAATATTTACCAGTTTATGACAGTCTCTGAGAATTCCCTTCACAGTAGTGATGTACATGTAAACTATATTAGGTTTTGAGTGGTCACCAGAGTGGTTGCTGGCATAATCAAATAATTAGAAAGTACGAAGAATATGCTGAAAAAAGTGGTCCACAAACTTTAAATGTCCATGAGACTAAACAAATAGTAAGTTTAACATGGTCCAGTGTTATTATGATATCTATCAAACTTTTTCAAGCATGTCAAGATTCTGCTGAAGCCTGAACAGAGTGAAATTGTTGAGATGTCAGAAATCATTAATAAGATTACTTCTGAAATTCATACCTTAATCTTGAGTATTAATGATGCTGTGTCAGCTGAACAGTAGTTCATCATTGACTCAGCAGAACCAACTGGTCATGAGCTGTCAGATGAAAACATCATTTTTACTGTGTCTCTTCAAGCATGTGATTGACAGAAAGTCTCACATCAAAAATGATTGACAAGTGGAACTAGTCAGTCTGAATAAAGCACAATCTATCCTAAATTCGTATTGTTCAAACAAAACTGTGATTTATTTGAAGGTGATGACATAATGTATTATTTGCTTAAAGGTGCTGAGAAGCTGAAAAAGAAAAACTTTTGAGTTCCAAAATAGACTGTGGTTATATCTTTTGTTGTCTATTTGACCAGTACTGTGTATTTTGTATTCAGAAAGTCATTGGTTTGAATAAAATGTTATATTCAAAAATAATGAAATGGCACTTTGATCATGCAATGTATATATATTTATTGATAATGCATAAAATGATAAACTGCTAAGTTTATTGTACATACAAGTGCTTTTTGTTTACCAATTGCATGTCTATCATTACATTTATCGATCGATAATGCATTCTTATACTGTCTATTGTATTCAGTGACTGATTTGACTATCTGAATGAATTTATTCATTAAAAAATCCTCTTCCTACATTGTATATTCAACCCTGACTTAAAAAATTTTCATCCAATTTCCTCTTAAGCTCCTCCATTGTTGCAACTCCTGCCACTCTTGAAGTTAAGCTATTTCATTGATTCACTGCCATGATACAAAATTAACACTGCCTGCAGATGTTTTAATGAAAATATTTAAATTTATGGATTCTGAGCCAATATCACAAACAAATAAGTGAATTAAACAGCTCTTGTGCATTGGTAATATATTAAAAAATATATTCAAATTTAAATAGTTACACAATAAATAAAATTTATTAAAAATGGAACACAGTCCTAAAAAGATTAGATTTTAAAAACCTCAATCAGCAGAGGTACTCAATTGATGAATCAGTTCCTTCTAATCAATTTAAGTTATCAATTTTTTTACATATTGTAGTTACAATGGTATATTAAGTTTACTATGTTAATTACTGAGTAAATGTTTTATCTTGATTTATGTAGGTAGCTTGCTTTGATCAAACATCAGTGATAATGTTTACTCAGAGTCCTTCTTTCCAGAGAAAACGCGACAAAATATTTCAGTTTATTCCCTTTCAATAACTCTTTCAAACCAGGAATCATTCAGAAGCTCTTCCCTAAACCTTCTCTGACAACACAATATTCTTAAACAAAGGAACCAAATCTGAACATAATATTCCAAATAATGTCTAACCAGTAAATTACCTTATATAATATACCAGTGACCTTTGACTTGTACTCAGTGGTGTAGCAAATGCCCCCGCAGTGCAGGGGCCCCCAATTTCTCTTAACTTATCCAGGTACATCTGGCACATGTAAGAGACCTGCAGAATTTTGAAAACACAACAAGGATGGCAGGAATACTTCGTAATTTATGTTCTGGAGCTTACACAAGCCCATATTAATTTTGTTTGGTGGCCCTACCCATAGCTTGTGGTGACTGCTGAGTTTAACAGCCTTGTTGCCACTTTTGCTGCAGAGAAGATTAAAAACAAGTCCTTTTGTACAGAACCATTGTGACAGCAATGAGCGAGCAGATGATTAATTTAAAGTAGTAGGAAAAGGTTGTTTTTCTGCAAGAGGTTTTGCATAGGTAACAACAAGGAACAGCTTCCGTTGAAGTGAAGTGTCCATGAATTCGTGGGGAGGGTCTACGATTTTGCACTATGCCAATGCTTGTACTCAATATTTCTGTAGAACCTAAAATCCTGTATCCCTTATCACTAGCTAATGCTGTACAATATCCATAATGATTTGGAAATTTTGTAATACCTATGCTCAGAATTCTTTTCCTCATTAACTTCACCTAGAGAGAGAGAGAGATCTCCAGCAAGGCCATAAGAATAACTAATGTTGTGATAATCACTTTGCATAAATCTTTATTAAGATTACAGGACAGTTGCCATGTTTTCAGTCATAATATGGAATAATCTAAAATCTCTGCTATATTACAGCATATTCAATACAATTTGAGATAAATATTATCATCAGTTTAATGGTTATTTCATTATCGTGAATGAAAATGAGAAATAGCAATTTAAGCTCTGCAGATTTAAATTTAAAAAATCATTGTTACTGTCCATTGTTATTAAAAATGTGGGGAATTCTTTTTCTGTCTTCATAATGAAAATACACAAATAAATAACATGACAGTATTTTTCAGCATAACTTTTCTAATCCAACTAATTTATTAGATTTTATTACTATTTAACTACCTTTGCCTTTTCACCTTGTATTCCCTGACTACGTTTTGATAACTTTACAGCTGAAAATAATGTTATCAGTGAGGGTAACCAACTGATTAAACAATGTATTCCTATCTTTATAAGTGGGTACTTAAGAAAAGTACATTTGATTAGCTATACTGATGGCTAAGTTGACTTTTAGTTTATTTCATAGCTTACTCTGATTAGAAGTTATTATAATTTATCCAGTTTTTGTTTGTTTAATTAATGATGTATTGCCAATCTTCATAATCAAAATACTTTTCCATCATGTTGCTAAGGTTCATTAATTTTAACTATGCTTATAATATCACTTTTTTACCTTTATTTCTTAGTTTTTATTTTAAAATCTTATCCTTTTTTTTGTTCTTAATGTTTTAGTTATTCTAAAATTGTTCACATACAATGTACAAACAGAAACAACTATATCTCTGAGGATATGCACCGACATTGGCTACTAGTAGAAAGATGCATACAAACTATTGTAATCCTCCAGTTCAAGGTTACCCTATCAAAACATAAGAACTTTGTGTATATACATGTACTATGTGATATATGATGGTAATAAAAAACTTGAATCCTTCAACCAGCACCCAATGGGCACTTTAAATAGAAAATGAATATATTTAGGTTAGCAAAACCAAAACTATCAAAACACGGTAATGTTCAAAGAAATTAAAACAAGTACGGTTACAATTCTTTATTTTAATATATTACTAAAAAGTTATTGAAAACATAGTTTTTCAGTATTAATAAATCAGATTTTCTCTTCTGGCACCTAAAGGTTTTATTAGAATATTTCCATTAAACTTCATTAGACAATCAACTAAAGGCATTGTAATATACAGCACAGAAAGATGAATCAAGAACCTAAATTTAGAAAAGCTTTCTGACCTCGGTGCAACAAAGAGATAATACCTTGCACCACTGCAATGAATATCTTTGAGAATAGCACAAGACTTGAATGGAGCTCCCACTCCTACATGTATTAGTGCTGCCCTACAATGTAATCATTATTAGATTATAGCCCACCACCACCTATTGAAGGGTGACATCTTCCATGCAGAGTAATCCTTTTGAGCACTGGCATTCGAGCACAGACTAATTCTTTTCTCAGCACTGCCTGTCTTCAGATGTGTTAAAATTTCTTTCTTTTCAGAATTGCAATATTTTTATCTTCTGTGTCCTGTTCAGGCAATTCATTGTTTTTTTGCTCCCATATGTGGCAATCATAATATTTTCCTGTTATGGTATCACAGTTCTTCTCAGAACTTATCATCTCCCACTTTGACCACTTGGATTCTTCAACTCATCCACTTGTTTATTCTTCCATGGGAGAAGATACCTGTCAACTTTATCAGATAACCTTCCATTAGGTTCATCATCTCACAGCTTCTTTTGCTTTTCACTGTTTATGTCCCATGGACGAAGTCTTGCAGTTGGGGATGTGGATGACCCCTAACACATTTCTGTTCCATTAGTTACATATGATGACTGTTTTGTATACATCTGTGTTTCATCTCTCTCCAATTACCATTCTCAAGTCTTACTAGTCACTAGTGAGGTGTGTGTTAGTTATTTTGTTATTGTTTTTCTTTATAGCTGTTTCATTGCCATTATTATATATTGATGTATATGTAATACAGATGATGGAACCTACCAATTGGTCTGTGATATCTCATATGGAATACTTCTCTTTCTCAAAATCCACATTGAGCTCTATAGGGCTAAGAGTATTCCCTGCATAAGATGGATATGGTCTTCCACCGAGTGATGCCCTTTTAGGTTACCCCAAAATGGGTGGCACCTTCCACGTGTATTTCCTTTTCTTATGCTATGTTTGCAGAAAAGAGCTCATCTTTGTAATTCCTTTATTTATACCAGCCCATCCACCAGATTCTCAATGAGTTATTATAGCTCTTTGTTATACAGAGAGGTGTGTAAATGTTTCTAAAATTAACATTTTCCTTACATGAAAATATATTTCACATAGTTACCCACTTTTTACACAACCTTCCACCCTTCCTCTAGAGTATTGATTTTACTTTCTCCTGAATGAGCTGTTGCTAAAGTGTTATTGCTCATGGGGATTTATGCACGTTGAGGATATGTTTCCTTCCTGTTGGTGAAGGGCTATGGTCATAGGCTGGCTCAATACACATAAGTACTTGTAGGGATAGGAGCTTCATTCAAGATGTGGCATGTACAGAAATCTTCTCAACATTGACAGGAGGTACTAGGTGTTTGTTGAGGAGAGGTAACTGTGTAAATAAATTATCAGTAAGAAAAATATTAACTTTGGAAGACTTTTATTTTTTTACATGTGTATGTAAAATTTAATTTCATGGAATTAGTTGAAATTTGAAGTATATGCATATGTATAATATGAAAGAAGATCATACATTATTACTACAAATATCACTAAAAACATATTGTTTATTTTAGTAAGGATCATCAGTATTTTTGGTTTAATACAGATAAAATAATTTGTATGATACATGTACTTTACCACAAAATAATTTTTTTTTCTAATTTAGATTTTCTGGACATTAAGTTTTAGCATATGATTATCTACACACATGTATGCAAATAAGGAAGAAAAGCCTAAACACTTTCTGTTTCAAGTGGTACTAAACAGAAGCCTTAAATAGCATTGAGAAGGGGTGTGAAAGTTTTGAATAAAACTTCTCATTCAAGGAATGAAATGCCAGAAAAATCCTTGTCGTTTTCAAAATCAACATGACTTCTCCTACAAAAGTAGAATAAAACTTTTAGGACTTTTTTTTTAAGTGCTTTTATTTAACAGTGAACACAATCAATAAAATGCTATTGCTAGATTGGTTATGTCAAAAATGCTGTATACCACACTTGCATCTAGGATTTTACAGTGCAGCATATAGAAAACAATAAGCATGAACTCATTATATATAAAATTATAATTTACATATGTATGGATTTAAAGCTTTTTATATTTTTTATGTTATATATTCTTCCTAGTGCTGGCAGTCAAACTTACTGGGCTAGTACTGGAGACAAAAGCATTGTTATAATATTGTTGCAATAATTTGATATATGTTTACCATGTGTGCTATTTGTGTATGTAAGTTTTATTTGAGGTTTCAAGTTACATATATTTAAATGTATGTGCACTAGACTTTTGCAGTTCAGAATTTTCAGGATCTTTTATGGCTCCCTCGAAATCTACCTGAGGTGTTTTCCTAGTAATAGAATGAACAATGTGAACAAAAACAAAAAACACTTGTTTAAAGAGCAAAGTAATTTAGTAAAACTTGTCCAAGGTATCAGGCAATATGAATTATACACACATGTTAAAATTTGAACTTTTAGTAGTTTGTTCAGCAATTGAATAACTTATTATTTTATAAAATTTGTGTTTTTTTTATGTACTTAAGAACATAAATGATCTGTTTAAAATAATATTTCTATATGTACTTTGTACATGAAATATGTATTTAATATTGTCAGTATAATTAAATCTTATTGACAAATGTCTATGCTTGCATTGTGTAAATAAACAGGTCTTGTAGTTGTTTAGGTAGGTAGTATTTAGTATGTAATGATGCATACAAGTACCTCTATATTGCTTGTCTTCACTCAGGAGAACTTGTTTTCAGCTGCTGGAGGCCATGTTCAGTAGTTTCATTGAGGGTTAAAGTACCCAAGAGCTCTCCTCTCCCGTCTGTATATAAATAGGTCTGCATATATGAGAAATATATTTTTTGTTGTTTTTCTTTCCCGTATTTTAAGGCTTTCAAAAAAGTACATTTATAGATGTTGTGAACTTAAGTTCACAATTAAAAAATTTCTTTTATATGTATGTTATTCAAGAGTATTTGATTTGAACTGACAGTGAGTGGAACTGCACACAATAACAATAAGTTAGTTATGCAATTTAATGCATGTTAAAGATTTTTACTGATTCATTCAGTATGACTTACTGTACTAAAATTCCACATGATTTACAATATCTAGTACCATATGGTTAGTGTAAGTTTTAAATTCTAATCTTTACTCAAATCTTCTTATTTAGTTTAATGTGTCTAACATACTACTGCATTCTTTAAATTAGAAAATAGTTAAAACTCTTACAAATCTTATGATTATTTTATGTTTACCAAAATCTTGTTTTCATATTTGTTTTACTTCTCACAAAGTTTTGTTGCATACTTAATGATTTTTTCAATTTAGTTTTTTATGGTACTGTATTTCAGTTTGTCTTTATTTTACTATTTTATTTATAGCTTTTTAGGGATTGGATGCAAAGAAAACTGAATCATTATACCACAAAATTGTAGAAGATTCTGATGCTATATATTAATGGTTGAAGTAGGCTTTATGGCAGGCATGGAAGCTGTTGTGGCAGTGGCCATCAGTGTACTTGCTGTAGTATTTTTGGGGTCTTTGGTGGCATTGATTATAGTTTGCCGTCAAAAGTACTGTCGCCACTCAGATCTTCTTTCTTCTCAACTTAATGACAATAGGTAAGATAGTGAAAACATAATTGAATAAAAACAAAAATTATCATTAACAATAATAACCTTTTATGTATAAAAAAATAGTCGGATAAAATACATTTATATAGAATAATATCAGCTTACAGACACTCTCAACTTTATGAGTAAATATTTTGAGATATCTTGAAAATATACACTATATATTAAGAAACTGTGAGTTCAACCAAATAAGAATATGTGACAGTATATGAAGTAAACACGGTCTGCCACATTGAGTGCTGCCAAGTTTTTTCGCCCAATAACAGGGCTCGTCAGGCCAACTGGAATATGACAGACATAGTATTGGTCTAGGCATTATTTATATCATCAGTTACATGAACGGGAGTTATTATGGTATGAACTAAATTAAGCAAGTAAAGTACAGTTATTATCAATTTTAATATGTCATTTAAAATATATAATTAGGGTAAAAATTGATAACATAATATTATTTTTTATACTTGAATTAACTTTACTATCTTTCAGAAACACTAATGAATTAGCAAGCCAGTTTTCTGGTTTCAGTAGTATAATATTGCTACTGAAAGCAGTGATTGGTTTCTCGTCATATGGGTTATTTTACAGTTGCAATATTGCAGGTAGAAAAAGTCCAAAAATAAACCATAGTTTGTATGTAAGAAAATAATAATACTGAAGCCAAGCACTACATCACAGATACATCAATAATAACTGAACTGCACAATTTTGTTCATTCAACCCTGTTTTAAGTATTGATTAAAAGGCTTTCCTTTATTCATAACTCCTGTTTAATTTCAGTCCTGTCCAAGATTTTAAAACTTACTCTATTTATGGATTTGTTACACTTATTTAATGTGTAGCTGTTAATGTTTGAATGTGATGTGAATCCCAAATTTGCATGCTCTTGTATACGTGTTGTTAATGCTCTACTGATAGAGCCTATATAACCTAATTTAAATTTAGGACACCCATATTCATATGATGCATTCAATGTTTTATAACCAGGTATCTGATCTTTGTATTTAAAAGAATACTGTAATCTAAACACAGACTGAAACTACACATCGTAGTTCTACTTGTGGAAATTCTGATTAATTATTTTTTCTTTGCTGATTTTTAATCTCTTTTTGTCTGTTTCCAGGTTTATGGTAAACCAAAAGTAAATTTTTGTTTTGCTACTTTCCATGTGGATAATATAGGAAGGATCCTCAATTTTAATTTAAATAATCATAGATAACTTGATTTACAATATTTGTTGGAAAATCATTTTTTATTAAGAATATCTTAATATTTTCCATCTCTTTATAAAAAAATTCGGGGGTGTTAAGTAACGTCTTATGATGCATCATGCTGCATTCTCTTGAAAGGCCTACTATGGCCACTCATTCATATGAAATTGCATATCCTTATTCAGTTTTTAAAAAAACAGTAAGCTCAAGCTTATGATACATTTTCAATATGTATGGTCACATCTGCTATTTAGTCCAAAATTATTTGAATCCAATTGGATATCAGGAGCCAGAAATCCAATATCCAAACAAAACCATTATTTGTTCCATTCCTATTTATTACAGAAAGATACTTGTTAGTAGGAAATAATTGTGCATGAAAAAAAACTCCAGCTTCAAAATCTGATTTCTCAATATTTGTATGGCTATGATACATTTTAGTTACTTACCTTAAAACTATGATTTAAAAAAAAGATTATTTTAATCGTAGTGAAATCCAGTGTGAAGGTATCGTAAAGAAAAATAATTTTTAGGGTAATTTTATAAGTGAGTTGTGTGAATTGGTTTGCAAAATTATTTCATGAAACAAAACTCAGTTAAGGAATAATTGAATGAAAATTTCTCTGTATTTTTGATTAGGCCAGATATACACCTCATCAATACAGATGATTCAACTGATGTGGAACTAGATGATGTTCGTCTTCACCCAAATATTGAGAGAATCATTGCTGATGAACAGTGGGTTGATGATGCAACGTGAGTTTCAACTTTTTTATTTATTTTTAAGTCAGGAAAAAGAATGCTTCAGAAATGTTTCAACAATGATATTCATTATATATAGAGATCAATATTTTCTCTTTTATATATTACCAACAATTTTTGTGAGAACTTATTCAAAAATGTTAAGCAATAATTCTAAAACACTGATGTCGAATCAGGCAAACCTACATCTGAAATACTAAAAGCCTTTCCTTGTTGAGTTGCTCTCATGCTGTCTATAATCATGTGACTTTAGGTTCTGCTGTCCTTGACACAATGCAGAGCATGTGTCAACTTACTCACAGTTCTCCACTCTTCCACTTTCCATGTGATTTACTGTGCATATATCAGGAGAATGTACACAAGCTCTGCTTACTATGAATTCTGAAGTCAATATTAACTACTGCTGTACAATTCTTCCAATGTTGAAAATCATACTACTACTTTGAATACACTATACAAAAAACTTAATAAATGATTTTTCACATTTACTATATGTTTAACAGTATGTGGCAATATTACTGACATGGGTTATTTAGGAACATTTCATTCCATCTGTTTAGGATTATTGACTTTATTCAAATAATCATATTTGGTGTTATCAGCAATGCTATTTGGAAAGCATTTTTGTACAAAACCATTTTGAGGCATTCAAATTTCTTAAGAAGATAAACTTATGTTGTTCATGTACTGCATGCTAGTGGTTTTAAAACCATGATGAATCAGTATCATAATCAAGTTTCTTTTATACAAATCTGTAAGAAAGTTGTTGAAATTAAGATAAAAACCAGTAACCATACTTTTGTGATAGACTCGCACCAAAATTTGCTGTTATTATTATGTACATTGTACTAATTTATCCAGGAGAGGAAGCTGATGTCTTTATTGGTGTTCCACTGTGAATTTTATAATATTATTTGACTATTAATACTCCTGATTGGAAGCACTTACTTTTGTTCCATTAACACCTCTTAAGATAATCTTCTGTTTTAATATTTACAGGTTACTCAAAATTAGGTGACTGTGGGTTCTGTTATGTATTTCTGTAACTCATTCATTGCTTAAAGACTACTATGTTAGGCTTCTGCATTTACAGCAGAGTTGTATGCAATCTCACTAGCCCTACATCATGTTGAATCTAAACATAACCATCAATGTATTATCTATATAGATGCACTTAGCTATTGAAGGCCTGGTAATTGCTTATTTTTAACTCCCATCTTTTATTGGAAGTTAAAAGGGTTTACACATTTCCTAGAAAGTCCTGAAAATCATTAAAAACTCTTGGAAGACCATGGAAATTTGAAATAGTGCTGCCTTTTATGATTGCTGTGGTAATAGTGTGCACAGCATGCAAACATCACCAGAAGACTGAGATGCATATCAACAGTCGGCTGTGCTTTCTTATTTGGCCTGAGCATCCAACTTTAGGCTTAATTTTAGACCCTAAATGTATTTTGAAGGAGGCATGCTTTCAGTTTTCTTGGTTATATTTCATATTATAGCATCATCTGCATCAGTGTTTGAGCTGATTGTTACATGTTATTTAGTAATATTAGTTGTATGATGAAGTTTTCTGCTCAATAGACAGTTCAGTGTTTCAGTATATTATAGCAGTGCAATAGAATTATTAAATGTGTAGGTTTGAAACTATAATAGTGAAGCTAAGATGAAAATTAGCAAAGATGGAGGTGGATTTTGGTTTGTCAGTGAAGTTTCTGTAGCAAAATCAAGAAGAATTGCAATGATTAAATGTAGATATGGATGTGAGTAGTGTTGTTGGAAAATAATGACTAAGGAAGATGTTATTAGAAAGAAGTATACCTATATTTAAAGTTGGAGGCTACATGTACGGTGAAAAGATAGAGAAAATGTGTTGAGGGCACAAATATTGTTCAGATTGTTGTTCCATAATAGTCCAGTCTGTACCTTGTGATTTTGTATGTCCAAGTTGAGCTGTAGATACATATTACTTGAAACATGTCATAGCTTACAAAGAGCATATATCACATGGAAAATTTAGATATTTAAATGTTTCAATAACAAAAGCAATAAAAAGTTCCTTTTAACCCAATGGAGATGGTGCAATATCCAATGAGCATAGCTCATATGGAGAATGATACACAGTGCCACAATATTTAAGATAACTCTTAGCCTTATTAACATATTATCACAACAATAGGTAAGATTTGGTTAAAGATTACAAGTATTTTGTACACAAAGAATGTGATTATTTTAATTAAATATTTGTTATTTTTGTATTCTAGTTATTTGTACTCGTACTCTAAATATTTCGAGTATCATCATCAACGTATTTTGCAGTAAAATGTGCATACCTTTTAATTTTTCATCAAATAATCTTGAAACTCTTCTTTCTGTTATATTCTTAATTGTAAGTTTTTACTTTTTCACATATAGTTTATTTTTGATGTTTTATTTTTCCTTTCTTATCCTTTAGCATTATTACTTATTGCAACACTTGTCAATGGGCATTCTCGGGGTATCCTTGGCAGTGACACTTTAGCCTTCATCAGAACATTGGGACATTTACCTAGTATATGAAGCATGATAAATTGAGGCAGTATGGCGTATAATTGAAAAAATTAATATGCATTTTAAAACATAACTAACACACAATTAACTAAAACCTAAATAAAATTTAATTGTCTACCTAACTAATGCATTTATAGATGAGAAACAATGCTAAAGTGCTAGTGAGGACAAAAGTAAAAACAATGCTAAGAACAATTCACAAGTTCTATATGGAATTCTTTCCTCCAATTTGAAACTAATTGTTAGGAGATAGTGTTTCAAAATATAGTCTTTCTGTTGGTTACAAACATCTAGCTCAACTAAGTATAATTGGCTGAGAAATTGCAACTATTTGTTTAGAAAGTGGGCACAGCATATGTCAAGAGTCTAAAGAAATATATTTCTCTTTTTTACCCAACATCCCTGAAGGAACTCGAAAGAATGTGTAAAAAGAGCAGTTAACCTCGATTCTTTCTATACATGGAAGTTTTAGTATAGTCAAATCATTTTCAAGTTACAAAATCTAAAAGTTGTTCATCAAACTGAAGTTTAAGAATTTCTCTTTAAGGTTTCTTTTGAAATGAAGGAACTAAAACTTAGATATTATGTAACTTTGAACTATAATGTAATTTTTTAACCTAATTCCAAAACATACATACCTCCGCTGACACTAATAGCTATTTCTCGATCTTCATCTTTGCTATCTAATGTTGTGTTTGCTTGCCCCAGTCTTTATATACCCCACCCAATTGCCCTCGGCAATATCTAATTTGCAAAACTTTACGCCATCCCTCAAATGCCCTCTATGCAGTTACTGTATATAAGCACTGTATGCAGACAATGAAATCACTTTTTCTCAACAAAGCGCAAGCATTCAGACTAACATTTTGTGATTTACATTTTCTTAGTTTTCACTTTCTAATAATCAAGAATTCTCTTTGTTTTCCAGATATATATTTCGCTGAATTTGCTTTTTGTTTTTTCCTACAAATATATTACAAAAAAAAATTGGATATGAATTCTCATATAAAAGTTTCAAGCACGGAGGCTACTCAAGCCTTTGTCTATAGTCCTTTGTTATCTAGTGGTGGTCAACAATCGGGGGAGAACCACTCCTTGTAAAAGCTGTGTGTGACCTGATTTGGAGTGAGATTGAGTCCTTCATGCAGCCCGGGGAGGTGCTGATTTGAATATCCATTCTGAAATGGGATATTCTGGGGAGAATTTAGACTCCCTGTTTCCTGCCCCTTCTTTCAATAGAGCTTCCTCTCCTGAGGACTCATCTAATCAGCCACTTTCTGCTTGCTTTTGTGCAGTTAAACATGTTTGTGAAGTTTTGGAGATGCAACCAGTTTCTTTTGAATCTACCTCTGCTTTGTTTTCTGATCGTTCTCAAAGGAATTACTTAGTTTTCCTCCTCCTTCTGATAATTGCTGTGCATGTAGGGAGGCTTGCAACACAATTACTTGAGGGTATCGCTATGCTTCTCCCCCCCCCCTCCCCCCCGTTTATCTGAACAACATGCCCTGGCATATCATCGTCAGGATGATATATATATGTACACTCAAAGGTTGGATCTATGGGATGCCAGGTACAAACCTATTATCTCTCTTAACAGGTTGCAGGTTGCAATTTTCATGGATTCGTTTGACTCTTACTACTGTTTTAAGATATTTCTATTTCCTTCAACTTTTGTCTGAGGCATTTCACCAATTGCCTCAACAATTTGATGACGAACTGGGCCATGTACTGGTCACTACTATGACATGTTTGTCCTTTTCAGGAATTGCCTTGGTGTTGTGGTTGGTCTGTTGCTGGGACTTGTTGAGTTGTGATACATTTTGATGGGTATTCACTTACCTTCTTTTACCCTTCAAGATTTATGGGAAGTGCCTTTTTCTCAGCCTTATTTATTTTTTGGAATTCCAGAATCTTTTTAATCCAGAATTGATACAGCACGTTTGCAGTCTTCTTTATCGTCTTTGGCTGCTCGATCCTATTCTACTTCCATTCGTACTTCTGTATGTTCACCTCCTCGTGTCTCAAGGCCCCCTACTTCCACTCCTCGTTCCATTGGTTCTCTTAATCATTTCTGTCCTTATTTTCAGGAGATATTTTGCGGGCTGGTATGTGGACTTCTCCCGACATGTTCATATCTCATTACCTTCACGATCTGGCAGTTTCCTCTTCGAAGAAACTTCGTCTTCCCCCTGTGGCTGTGTTTACTACCTCTACTAGATTTTAACAGGGTGATGAGTAACGTGTTATCTGATTTACAGTTATTGTTCCTTTCTCTTCAAGGGTCCCTATTGATTTTTATTTTGGATCCCACTCAGTGGTGAGTGTTGCCCAATCAAGTATGCTTGTAGTTAAATTCCATACTAGCAACCTTTATATCGATGCCTGGTTGCAATAGGCTCTGTCAAGATGAGGTGTTCCATAAGACCATCTGGATGCAATTCTGGATGGTGATATCATATTACAATATTTCTAATGGACCGCTACTCATGGACTATCATGAGTAAAACTAAAGGGGATTTGGACAGTCTCTGGTGATCTTAGAGCTTAATCAATCGAGATCAGTTTGCTTTTAAAAATTAGGAAATGTGGTTCACCTGTTGCACTGTCTTCAAAGACCTGTTCCTCAGGACTCCTTAATGCTTATGTTTCCACCCTTACTTCTACTAGTGGAGCTTGGGAGTTCTTACCACACCCAGTTCCCAGTTACTAGGGTGATGGACAGAGGATTTACCTTTGGAGTGTTGAATTTTCTCCATTCTTGGAGAAGAGGGCAAAGTTGAGGACCTTCCTACCCGAGTCCCTGGAAGTTTTTTCCCAGATGTCGGTAGGAGCAGAACCAAACTAAGCGAAAGCCTACTCATAAAACCAATCCAGATTTGATGCTTAGCTATCCGGTGGGGGGTGTTTGAATCCTGTTATGAATACCGTCAGGTCTTATGTTGTTCATGCAGGGGGTCCACTATCTCCTTGTAAATCCAAACGTGACATGTTCCCATCTTTGGTCCTTGGTGGGACAGTGTTCCACATCCTCTCATTAATTCCATGGGTAAGCAGACTTCTCTTTGCCTTTGGGGAGTAAAGACAACTGTTTGTAAATCCAGACTGGCTGAGTTCTGGACTTTGGTGGAGTATGGCATATGATCCCATCAATCCAGACCTGGGAACTTGCCTTTTGGACTTCTTCAGGTTGATCTGAAGGATTTTCCACTTTGGTGTTGCTTTCTTTCTTTCATAAATCCAGTGGTTTGAAACACATCATTCTATGGTTACTGGTAGGGATCCTATTACAAAGATATATATATATATCTGCAGTCCAACTACCCTAGCCACCAATGTTGGATATGGGTACCATGAACCCTTAAATCCAACCCAAGTTGTGGAACCTCGGCTGTTTGGTTGAGGCTGGACCATCATACTTGTATTATATTCCACCCTTTTCAATTTTCTGTAGTTCTGGGTGAAGAGCATACCTGTTCTGGATGTAGTGCAGTGTTCCCCACTTTGATACCACTTCTTGGGTATATATTTGTTCTCTGCAAACACTTTCTGTAGGATCTCTGTCCTCACCGGCCTCTCTGCCTCCTCAATGTTAGATTCTAGATTTTGTATCAGTGTAGGTATGTATGTTTTCAAAGTTATCATTTTCCTAAACTGAAAATGTATTTCCAAACATACTTATGTCCACTGACACTCTCCCTCCCTTCCTCTCCACTAAGAGCCAGTATTAGTGACCATAATGGGGTAAGTCTCGAAAAAGTGATTTTATTGCTTGCATACAGTGCTTCTATACAGTAACTTCATAGAGGGCATTTGAGGGATGGCGTAAAGTTTTGCAAGTTAGATATTGCCGAGGGCAGTCAAGTAGGGTATATAAAGACAGGAGCAAGCAAACACAATGTTAGATGGCAAAGATGAAGATCAAGAAATAGCTATTAGTGTCAGTGGAAATACATTTTCAGTTTAGAAAAATGATAACTTTCATTGGTAAACATTGATAGTAAGATTGCTTAATTAAATTTTGAATGTAACAAAGTAAAATCTCATGACATACAATACAGGGGTGTCCGTAATCATAGAGTTAATAAACCCTGGCTAAAACTTTCTCTATTAATCTTAGAATTACTAATGTAGTGAATCCATATGGACCCCACCAACTTTGTAAACTCATTTTAAACTATATATTGCACTAAATTACTTATTAGTCAATGACTTTGTTGGTTACACAGTCCCTAATAACATACCAGTTGCACAAAAATTGCAAACAAAGTACCATTGATATTGCATTTAATTCAGACAATTACTGCTGGGATCCCTTGTATATTTTACAAAAAAAAAAGTGATTTTTTAATTTGTGAAACTGAGTGTTTTAACAGGCAAAACATAAAATGGAAACAGCCATCCATTATTATTACAATTATCATAACAAGACTGTACTGGTAGTAGGAAATTTCAAGTTGCACTTGCTGTAAACTAACATGATAATTTGGTTGTTTTAGGTATGAATGAAAATGATCATTTCTAGATTAGAATGTTGTTTGATTTTGAACAACGCTTATTAAAACAATTGGAAAGTCTTTGATTTTGAGTTTTGTTTTCCCTTTTTTGCATTAGAATTAATGCCTATTTCATGATAGTTTTATTTTCTGATCAGATGCCTCTCAGATTTTATATTCTTTGCTGCTTCTCATGTGTTTTTTATTACTTACTGGAGTCCTGCTCAAAATACATATCAAACTATATATTTCTATTTTTGCTTGTTAATGGATTGTTGTTGTTTTTTGTAGTGGTCTTGTACCACACTGTCTTGCCATTCTCAAAAAGTGCCATCATTTGACTGAAAGATTAGTTGCTATGACAATGAGTAGTGTGTCTCATCAATCACAGCAGCAGTTATGGGAAATTATTGAAGTTGCCAAAAAGATAAGTCCAAGGGTTGATGATGTGGTACGGTCTATGTACCCACCATTAGATGCCAGACTACTAGAAGCCAGGTAAAGCTTTTCTTGTTCATTATAAGATCAAATTAATTTGCTTGAACATGGTAATGTTTCAAGTATCTGAAATATAAAGTGTTATCAATAATAAAATTGCAATATAGTAGGGGAGAGTAATAGAAATGCCCTACCTAATTACAAGTTTCACCAACACACTGTTTGTTATATGAATTATAAAAAAAAATTAACATAAATATTCAAAAACTGAAAACTTGCTCAGTCTGATATTTATTAGACTTTACAGTGCAATTTACTTGAATGACATAGGGTGGAATCAAAGAAAATATTTTGTATCTTTGCAAACTGTTCCTCCTTCTGCTTTGTATTATATATTTCTACTGGTACTCTAACTCCACAAGTTACTTCTTAGCAACTTCTTTAGGTATAAAGCTAAAGACGAGCTTATGCTTATTCATTTGATAACGGTATGACATTCAGAATTTACCAAGCTTCTTGTAGTGTTAAAAAAAAAAACATGGGCTCTAACATTTGTGTTGGGCCACTTACTGTAGAAAGTTATTTTCATTATCAGTTTAATTTTTGGTTATTACACATTAAATTTGTATTTTATCTGAGATTTGCTTCTAAAATTTGAAAAAACAATATTTGTTTCCTTTTACAATTTGATGAGAAATTAGTTTTGAGAAGAAAATTAAAATAAGAACTTGTATGGTAAAAGGTGAATATGAAATCTTTGAAAAGCATCAGCATATTAACTATTCAAAACTGTTAAATGCTGGAAAATGAAAAAAATGTATAAAATAGAGCATTGTCAAAATGCATGTACTTTTCTGAATTACTTGTTTTAAACATTCACTAGATGTACTGCCTTGCTGCTTTCTGTCTCTCACCTTGCCTTGGTGATGAGATTTGCATGTCGTATCCCAACGACACCAGACTGGATAGATGAAGCTTTGGCAGAAATGGAAGAACATCTTCAAGTGAGTAATTACAGCATTTGTGCAGTATTTGTTTTCAGGCTTACTTAAATATAAGCTGTAAAAATTGTTAGCATATTTGTTTCTATAAATATCCTCATTTTGTCAGCAGTTACTGACTTTTGTTTTGATATTCAGAAATAAAATGTTGTAATATTATTAGCAAACCAATAGTGTTTCTTTAGTTGCTGTATCATTTGCCTGTTTCACGATTAATTATTCTCATTCATGTGGACAATAGCTACATTCTGATTCTTATTAACAAGCAGAAGAGAAAGAAAGAAGAGTTTTTAGTGACGTAAAACAATTTCAACCACTTTTTTAGTTTACTCTACTGCAAAATTTCAGTGTTGTTTGTAGTAACCAAAAACAATAGAAAAAATTATCTTTGAGAAAATAGGAAAAAATATTTTGCTTGATAATAACCTGTTAAATTAATGAAGAATTGAATAGTGTGCTTACAGTTACCTGATAATAACCTGTTAAATTAATGAAGAATTGAATAGTGTGCTTACAGTTACCTGATAATAACCTGTTAAATTAATGAAGAATTGAATAGTGTGCTTACAATTACCTGATAATAACTTGTTAAATTAATGAAGAATTGAATAGTGGGCTTACAGTTACCTGATAATAACCTGTTAAATTAATGAAGAATTGAATAGTGTTTTTACAGTGATAAAAACCTTTTGTTTCAGGTCTTGAGAGATGCTGGATATGCTGATGACACCCAGTCTCAACTGGTCTGTGGTAGCATCCAGGCTAGCCAGTCTGGCATTGTCCAGTCTGGAATCAATAACCTCACTTGTTTAGAAGCAGCATCTAATTCATTACAATGTCGTCTTCCAAAATCATCAAACACAGGGCCAGTTTAGATGTTGTGGTGTATCATGGAAACTTGTGTTTGTATATTATGCTGGTTTTCAGAGCTTCCTAAAGTACAGGGTTTCTTGTTTAATGCTTACATTTATGTATCAGCAGAATCAAAAGGAATATAACAATGTGAAAAGTTTTGTTTTTTAGGAAATAACACAATGTTTCTTGTTTTGTTTTTTCCAGCGGATATGTTAAGGGGTAAAGTATAATTTTAAAGTTTCCATATTTTATTATTTGAAACCCTGTCAATACATCAGTACATAAACCTACAAAAGTATCATTATTGTTGAAATCAGATGCTAAATAACCATGAGTCAATATATAATATGTACTGCTTATACACACAAAATGTGTGAAAATTGTTGCATAAGTATGTAATGTGTGTCCATATTTATTTTGTGTTTTGATAGTGTAATACATAATGGCTGTAACCATAATATCTTTGCATACTACTATTCCATAAATAATTTAAGTGGTTAATAAAATGTAATGTAAAGATGACTGGGTCACACGTCATCTGATAAATGTACTCTTTGACACTTTTTCAAAAGTTTTTCTGATGTTCAGTGTTGTTGCTTTTAAATCATTATATTGATATACTCTTAAGCATAAGCTGTTATACTCATAAATATAGTAATTGTTCAAAAAATTACCCAATATTTCACTTTATGTTTGTAAATGATCTGTGATTGAGTATTATAAATTGTTGGTGATACTTATTTTTTATTACATGTATTACATACATATATAGTTAAGCTGATTGTGTCACATTCCTATATTACATAACAAGGCACTGTTTATATAGTCTTAATGGTGTACTGGTTTTGTAGTCTTACAGTTGCTTCTTTTAAGTCTTACCAGTATAATACAATTTAAAAAAATATTAGCCAGTAATCTTTTACAGTATTGTATGTTTATACAAGCTATATAGTAGTGATAATAACATTTTTTTAACTTTACTTGAAGCACTAAATATTCAGCTGAAAACATAATAAATGGGTATTAGTTTTTCTTGTAAAATGAGTTATTCATCACCATAAGAGTTTAATCATTTTAAAAAATAGAGCAAAACTATTTTGATAACTTGTTTTTACTAGTCCTTTTATATGTAGAAATTTGTTTCCAATAGTGTCTTACAGTGACAACAAATAAATTTAAGTATTTTGTCTTAATTTAAAATATGTGTTAAAACAATAGTAAAAATAAATTACTTAATATACATGTTTCTCATGTTTACATATATTCTGAAAGTATTGAAATTTAAAATTAAAAATTTTGTTCCCTGTATTCATTTTCTATTTCTGCATACTAACAGCTGTTCTGAATGACATTCCTTAACCTTGATGAATTAATGTATTCCACAGATATGCCTTAAGCCAGTAGAGTTCTATCTTGGAAAGTGTAATATATATTGGTTCAGCAACTGGGAATGCGTAAACTCAATACCATCCTTATATTGTTAAATCCTTTATTTTGTTTCTTTACAATGCTCTGCGTGAGATGTGTAATAAAATCTATAATGTCTCAATATCATCTAAAAACCAAGCCAGTAATAAAATGTAGAATTGGTGTAAACACTTTCATACTAGTGATTTATCTATTATGAGTAAAATTGCTTGACAATCAGCAAGGAAATTGGACAAAACTTGAATGACAGTTTACCATAATTAGTGGATTGTACTGAATTACTCTATAAAGAGATTTGTTTTACTTTTATTTTTCTGAATGAAAAATTTGAGGTCTATAATTTCTATAGGGCTGCTTGTATTAAACTTATTTGAGGATTTGTAAAAGGTTGATTGTTTTGAACTGATTTAGGATTTTTGGTCTGTAACATGTATTTAGTTGATTATATTAAACTTATTTGAGGATTTTTAGTCTGTAATTTGTATAGGGTTGATTATATTAAACTGATTTGAGGACTTGTGGTTTGTAACTTGTACAAGGTTGATTGTATTAAACTGATTTGAGGATTTTTGATCTGTAACGTATTTAGTTGATTATATTAAACTGATTTGAGGACTTGTGGTCTGTAACTTGCACAAGGTTGATTGTATTAAACTGATTGGAGGATTTTTGGTCTGTATCTTGTATAGAATTGATTATCTTGATATTGGTTTATAGATGATAAGGAAAGGTATTTTTCGTTTCTCTTTTTATTTAAGTTTTGAAATTATATCCTCTTTAATCCATGATGTGTATTTTTGTATGAATATTTATAGCAAGTATTACTTTATGGTTGGTTTTATTGCTTTAATTAAATTTATTCATATACTCATTCATTTGTCATTGATCTTTTTTGTATTTTTTGTTTAATGAGGTACATATATTACATATATAACTTAAAAATACAGAACATAAACAAAAAACGGATTTAAGTACAGTGTCTCAAACACTTTATTTTAGGCAGTAGTAACTCTTGTGTTACTTAAAAGCTATGTTCACCACAAGTACAAGTCCAGCACTGAAGTTGAAAAAAGCATGACAATTGTAATGGCTGTGTTATGATGCAGTTAAGTCTTTGGTTGGTGGTAGTAGCACAATTTTTCTCCAATTTCAAAATGTCAACACAATAACTAAATTACTAATGTTACTGTTATAGTAATGTTTTAATAATTTACTTTCTTACATATTTATAATAAATTTACTATTAGAGAGATCGAAATATGAAATAAATTTAACTCAACTATTCTCTGTAGAAGCAATTTAATATGTTCTTTACAAAACAGTTTTAGATAGGAAAAAGTATTTTATTTGTGATGCTTGTCTTAACAGGTGTTTCAAAATTAATGTTGAAATATCTGATCTGCATTACTGTTGTTATTGTTCTTTCATCCAAATAAGAATTGTTGAATCTGTGTTTGTTGAGCCATCTTTATAATGGACTTCTTCATATTTGTAAACATTATCCCAGTGAGTAGAGAGTTAATATGTCAACTTTATTGTTATGGTATATGTGTTGTACCATAACAGATTTATGGTTTTATTAGGAAAAAAATTTCATGGCTTAATTTTTAGGGAAACTTTTCTTTCATCATTATCTCGTATAATCTAAATAAAAGTTGTTAACATACGTACAATATAAAGGTTGACTTTTCATATCAATGCCAAAAAGTGCCAAATTTCCATAGCCTGGATAATGGTGTATTTTTGAAAAAAAAAAATTAGTTTTTCAATATTACATTTGATATCACTAAACCTAGTTTCTAACAGTTATGTATCATGGATATTTTATTTTATTGTTGGAAATTGATATTTTCACATTTTATAAAAGGTTTATATGTATAATCATAATCTTACATTCCCTATTATGAAATATTATTATGTATTCAGTAATTTGATAACAGAGAGGCCTGGCATAGTGTGCTGGTTGGAACATTTGACACATATGTGGATCAAAGGTTCAATTCCCTCCACCAAACATGCTCGTCCTTTCAACCGTAGATATATTATAAACTATGTTTGGCAATATGTGGTGTTGACTAGCTGTCTTCTTTCTAGTCTATCACTTCTAGATTAGGTTAGCAAGAGCAAGAAGCTCCGGAATAGTTGTGTGAAATTCAACAAAGCAAACAAAAGAAAAAGACAGAACTGAGACTTCCTGAAAGACCTTTGACTTTTGATATGTAGAATTGTCTCTGATACTTAGTTAACATATAATTATATACGAGATCTGAATAATTATTCCAAAGCTAGTTTATTAAAACCCTTTTATATTTCTTGTTTCTTAATTTTATGAACATTGGTGCTTGATGTTTGAAATGTTTCATGTTGTATTGTTGAAAATATTTGCTTCCAGCTCATTACCACAAAAAATATTTACAGGATTATGAATGTACCTGATAAGTTAATTGTTTTATGCAAATTAATTAAACTATATTCATTCAGTACTGTGTTGTTTGTTTGCCCAAGTTATTTATACTAATATATATTTTTTCTAACTTGTGTAAAGCAACAGCAATATCCAGCTATTTGTAAGAGACTGAAAACTGAATGTTTGTTAGATATATGATGAAATTAAACTATCACTTAATCAGGATCTTTTAAATGTTTATATAAACTTTCTAAAAGTTACTGTCTGCACATAGACTTATTTTCATGTACTGCAAGTCATGAACAGTCATGGGAATATCATTCTTAAAGTTAACTTCAAAAGTAAGGGTTATATCAAACTAGCCCCCCAGGTTTATAATGCTAAAAACTGGGTTTCAATACTCTTGGTGAACACAGCACAGGTAGCTCATTGTGTAGTTTTGTGCTTAACAATTAGGAAACAGGCAGACATCACACACTAATCACATCTGTGATAATGAAAAGCCTGTAAAAGGCAGAAAGTTCTTTTTCTTGTTTCAGTTGAGCATAGAATGTTGCTGTGGTTATTTTATTTGTTCATCATATATTATACGAGTTCTTTACTTACAACTTTTGAAATAAATTATTTTCTGTGACTAAAATGTTTTTATAAGATAGTGATAAATATGTTACATAATGGAAAAAGGAGGTTTACCCTCCATACCTTGGTAGAAAAAAAAAAATTACGTAACAGCATTTACTACAAAATTGTATTTCAATACATAACTTTCTTTTATTAAATTCATGCATTGTTTTAATAAAATGACATATGTGTCAGTTATGAGATAAAGGTTGTACTTTGTGCAAGAACTCGGTAAACAATTTCAGATATGGTGATATACACTGAGTGGTCACAAGTAAATAGACACCTAATTTTTGGTCATTTAACTGATTTATGCTAACTAATTTGTGTTCACAGAGCACTATATAAATGAAAATGGTCCACACACTAATTATCTTGTGCTACAACATGCCTAGAAATCAAGGTTCTCTTGAATTGTCAGATTTTGTTAGAGGAAGGATAGTTGGTCAAGCAGATGGTGGAATAAGTCAGCGGCAAATTTTGCAGAATTTGGGAATCCCGCTTACGACAGTCGACAGAATCATCGTGCAGTTCAGGAAACAACTGAGCAGCGTCCGGGTCGTCCTGGTCCATTGGAGAGGACAAAAAGGGCTGTCAAGAGGAGCATCGAAATGGATCCCAGATTAACAA